AAACCAAATCTAGGGCAGTGCCATAAACCAATGATTCTTTTATTGAGGTTTATGTAGATTTGGCTCATCTAGCCTATAGAGTATAATCTGAGATAATCTGATCATAACAACAATAGATTCTCACATTGTGGGTCTAATATTGTTTTGTTTTTTTAATCTGCTTTATTCATCGTTTTTATCAAAGTAGTAACTCACTTCCAAATGGGCTGGCAACCGTCCAAAGACATGTTGTAGGATGGAGTGAGACAGGTCACGCATTAATCACAAATGTTTAGATAAATCTACAGGCTGGAGCAGCTGCAGTTTAGAGGAGCTTGTACTGAATGACCAAACATCTTTACATGACCAGTGAAATTCCACTGCACATCAGCACTGCGACCTCTCAGCAGCCTGCAGGGAGTGCCAGTCTTCATTCTCCTGAATAGCAAACACTGCATATTCATGGTTTCTTCCATTGTATCTGAGACCATTGTAACATCTTCTGTCTGAATATTAATGGAGTATTGTTCCTCATGGTAGGACATTCATTGGATGTAATATTTCCATAAGTATACCGTAAATAAGTTGATTTGCCCCACTCTGGGCTGTAGATGCTTTTAGAAAATATCTTTAATATTACACTATTATTCCCCAGGTTTATATCAGTGGTTCCCAACCTTTGATCCATTTTCTGTAATTTAGTAAACTGACAACCCCTGACTAAGAGACATATTTTATGGATTATATTCAAAACTGTTCACCAAACAGTGAACTCAGTAACTTTCAGACGTTTGTGTAAAACGAGTGATTTGGATTAATTTTGAACAGAATATTTCGGTTTTTTTAACAATCGTACTTCATAGGCTTAAAAGTCTGTGTTTTATTGTCCTTGACATTTGGCCTACATTTTATTATTAATGAATTAAATTTACTTTACACTTACTTTTCTTCCCAGAAGTGAACCAAATGCTGAGGTATAGGCCTACTGTGTAAGTTTTGTAGCATGCTTTAAAATCAAAAAGGCCTTGCGACCTCCCCATGAAGCTTTGGCTTGATACAGCTACTCACGTGAATGATGTAGGACGACGAACAAGCAAGTCAAAAGTAGATTGTGCTCTCTGCTGTCTTCAAAAGTATCAGGATTCAGTTTACATCTCACCAATTACAATCTTTTCATATTTGTATTGTGATTTAACTGTCTCGTGATATATCTTTACATTTCTATTATGCATAAAATCTTTTTCTATGCAACCAGAACAGTGGCATCTGCATTTGTATCCATCATTGTCCCTGTAACATTTAAACACAAAAATAGATACAAATACCACAATACTCAAGTGTATATGTTTTCTAACACCCCTATAGTCATTGTAAAACCAAACAAGTTCATTTGTTTTTAAAAATGTTGAAACAGAGTACATTGAAACTTTTAAGCAAAACTAACTCAATTTTGTAAGTAAAAAACATTCTTGATCAAGTAGCTTTGGAATGACACTAAAATGATTTCTACTGTGAAAACCAAAGACCAAGAAAAACCTTCTAGTCAGGAATTTTTCATTAACATACAAAGCCAAGTTAATGTCATTTAAAATGAATGGTAAAGGCTCCTTGATCAAAAATCTTTTTAACTTACACAATTGAGTTTGTCAAATTAAATTTGTTTTTTGATGTAATCTGTTTTAAAAAATAAACAGTGTATTTATTATATATATTATGTGCTACAACATCTGGATGTGACATGGTGTGTATTGCACATTGGCATGATGGTATGTCTCTTTTAATGATGATGGCAGTACTTTACTGTAGCATTGAAAGGTCCAGTGTGTAACATATAGGAGGATATATTGTCAGAAATGGAATATAATATTCATAAGTATGTTTTCATTATCATTCATCAATATATGTTTGGTATGTATGGTATATGCCTTGTTTATACCATAGCCCAGAATGGACCAACCACACACTGGCTGTGGATGGGACTGCTTGTGTGTTTCGTGTGTTTCATGGCCATTGTAGTTTCTTCTTCACACTTAGAAGGGGAGGTTGAAGCTAGATGCTACTAAATCCTATACACTGGTCCTTTAATTGGCACAAGCAATATGTATGACCTCCAGGTGTCAAGTTTGCTCATCATTTGACTAGACTCTGTTTGTGTGTGTTTGGATTAGCAGTTTAGTCCAGAATCCAGTATTAGCCTTTCTGCCCTGCTCAAATTATTTTTGCAGCAACAAAAAAATAAAAAAAAAACAGGCCTGTTTTGACAGCTTTCCCCTGAATGCTGTAGATTTCAGCTGGAGGCCCAGATGCAATTTACAGCAACACAACCAAATCCTACTCCCATGATGCTTGGACCCTGCTTCTTTGGATTTAATCACAGGAATAACCCTTGCTCACCTCTCATAATTGAGCAGTCTTCCTGCATTAGCCTCACCCTTGTTGCTGAGGCAACTGGGAAACCTTAGGAAATGAAATAAAGGGGTCTGACTACCTCGGAGAGCACAGGTCAGTCCATATTTTTACATCAGGGAGGGTGAGCTCACCTTGGGAATTCACGTCAAGCTGAGTCCAGTCTGTTCCTCTGCTTTCAGACCCACGCCTTCACACATGATGGAACAGGAGCTGGAGACTTTTTAAGGGGAGACTGGGGAAAAGGATGGAGCTTTAGTTGTGTGGGTTTGGAAATAGGCTTATTGTTGAAAAAGCTTGAGCCTGGGTATTTGAAACTGGCAAGTTGCACATGAGTATGCCTGCCTGGAATCTGATGAAAGACCACTTTTTTGCCCTTTATCTTATTAAGAGGCAAATTCAGGTCATAACAGGTCAGTGGTGGCCCATTTGAACTGGGACAATGTTTCCTGGGCACAAGCAAATTATTTAATAATCAATTAATCTATTTCCTGTTGTTTATGAAATGTATTTATGATAGGAGACAGAGGAACCTGATGTTTTCACAGATTATCTGTCTCTATGTCACTACTGTATAGTGAAAGCTTCAGAAAATATGAGAAATCTTATTTTTTTAATTTTTAAATGACCTACTGCAGCTTTACACTGCTGCTATGTTTGACATTGTTTTTAATGTAATGGTTTTGAGGAACACTGGTAAAAGACAAGGATCGTTTTTAACCATGTGAACGTATTTCTCATTTTACGGTCATTGTATCACGTGTTTTGTGCTTGCAATGACCCGCCATTGTTCATTTTGTGAAATATATCCTGAATTACTTTGAAAAATTATGTTTGCACCTGCACATAACGCTGCGGACTAGAGGACAGGTGTACCTGCGTCAAGCTGTAAAACAGAGGCGGCAAAATAACAGATGTTATAACTTTGCTTTCAAAATAAGAGCGGTCGGCCACGCAAGCCATTCTCCAAAACGCGTAGGCAAACCGCGGGTTTTATTTTGAGGCTCGTAACCGGAACTTGTCGTAAAATCGACGCCAGCTCGTACGCGGAGGTGTCTCTCTCTCTCTCTCTCTCTCTCTCTCGCTCTCTCAGGAAAGGACACAGGATGACAAGTTGCAGAGTTGGAGTCGCAGCCGTCTCGATAAGGACGGAGTCGCGGACGCAGCCGAGCGTTAAGAGGAGAGGGAGAAGAGTCGCGGAAGACCCTCGGAATCGGAGGTGTTGATCCAACTGACACTTTATTATCTCACGGCAAAGTCGGAGAAGAGGATTCCCGCGGCGGCTGGGATTAGACGGCCCCCACATTCCCTCACCTGAAGTGTCCCTTACCTTTCCCCCGACCAACGTCTGTGCCGCGAGATTGAAGGAAAAGCACTTGACAGACTTGAGGAGCTCTGCCCGAGGCGAGACAGAGCTCATATATAAAGCCGGGTGAAGGACATTAACACAAGTGGAAACTGTGGCTGCATCCACCATGGAGGTCTGTGGCACTTCCAGGAAACTTACTTTGCTCTCCTTCACCTTGCTGTGGGGGCTCTCAGGTCAGTGCAACTTATTCTCACACATTTATTCACAAGTGTGTGTTTGTGTTTTTTTTCCATACCCCAGGCAATACACTTAACATATGTGTGTCACTTATTTTTTAAAGACATTGTAAATATTGGACCTAGAATTGGTCCCAAGGTGACATTCAGAGCTTTCATTCTCACCCAGTGTATCAGCTCCTGTCAGTGCATTTGTCTCCATTTTTAGCCCACTTATAAAAATATCTCCAGACAAGGTGTATTTCTTGAAACCATCCTGAGCCTAATGAGGAAATAACAGAACATGTCTGTTTCTGGGGGGGTTTCTCTGCTGTATGTGTGCCAGAGGATGAAGGAGGCGGATTTAAAGCTGAAACACCTGTTTGTTTTTCACAGGATTTGAAACAAGTGTGTTACACATGATTATGTCTTCCAGGGAAGAATAATCCCTTTATAGCTGCTGCAACGCCGGCTCTGCCATCACTCTCTCTAGCAATGTATTAAACTCCTACTTTCACTCATAGCCGTACAGTACACACGCAGCCTACTTTCCCCCCATCGCTTTGATTTAGAAATGGGGGCACGGCGCTGCTGAGGAGTATTTTGCAAATGTTTTAAAGGAAGTTTTATATGATTAATTCAGGTAGAAGTTGTTTCACATTTTACAGGAAAAGATGAGTATGATTTGTCAGGACTTTTCAAAAGATATGTTAGACAGATTGAGAGAAGTTTTGTATGACTCCTTCCTGAGAGGATGCACGTCATATAAAGGCACATTCAACCAGAAACCCTCCTCTTTAAATAGCAACAAGGAATTCCTGTAAGTTTACATTCATCTGCTCAAGACATTTAAATGAAACATCTCATCGGTCCTCTTTTCTCAACTCTGAGCAGAAACAACATTTTTGTTGATGGCAGCCATGAATGGCCGACATTCACTTTTAACCTGGTCACAGGCTTCTCTCACGAAGCCCCCTGCTCTCATATGGAAGAACAGGAGATATCCATTTAAGTCTGCTTCAGGTGAGTGCATGTTAGTTCCAGACAGGCTGCTGACTTTCATTTGGCCTGGGAGACATGAAAGCAAGCAGGAGCTTCACATTTTGCCTGATTCTGCTCTCGGCTGCCCTGAAGCCCGTGTGTGCTTTCCGGCACTGTTGCCAAAACAATCACATGCGCTGACAGGCATTCTCAGGCTCGCTTGTTACACCCCAAGGGAGGGGTTTTACCTGAGAAATGGGACCAGTTTACCACACAGAGACCTCTGTGAGGATATTATGGTTTGGAGACCTTTAGGGCGTTTCAAGGAGTGACTGGTTATAATGTCTCCTAGTGTCTAACCTGGAGTTTTAACAGCATGCTGTGATTCAGTGTCACAGCACAACAGGACAAAGCACCCACAGCTGACCTTGACCTCAGCACTTGACCCGCCATCAATCGCCCCGCAGGTGTGTCCTGAAAACACTGAGTGGTCAAGATACAGAGAGGAAATGTTCATGAATAGAAGCCTGCGGCAACAGGAAGACTCAGGGCTCCTTGATGTCCCCAATGAGGCCGAGCTCTTTAGAGCAGGAAGTGAGCAAACGTCCTCCAAAAAACAAGATAAAACCTTGTGATGTTTCAGTTCAAAATCAGAGCGGCGGAGAGTTTCATCAGACTGCAGACGACATCAGAAGACACTGATGAGTGCTTATGGTCACGTCAAGAAAAAAAGCCCTCACATGTAATTTCAGATGACTCACATCTACACACCCAGTATAGATATATGTGACAAATTAAAGGAAACACCTGAATGAAAGAGCAGAGAAACATGACAAATGCAGAAAAATGCACCGGTCGCCTGTCAATGGCGTCATATCCCCTTTGTGGTTGTTTACCATACACTGTTCAGATCTTGATGGTTTTTCACTTTATATTTTAACCAGATGAATGAATTTTAGTCATCGGACATCTGAATCTTCTGATAAACTAGACAAGCTAACGTTAGCAGCAATGTTAGCATATGTAGGCCTGTATGGCTATGTTCACAGTGCAGGCAACGGATGTGGCGTGCAACGAACTTGAATATTGTCCTCTGTTAGGTTCATTGTTTGTTTTCTTAATTGAATTAACACCAAACTTCTTCCTCCCAGCAGTCGTATCTTTTTTCTATTAAGCTTTTACTGCATAATAGTTAAGTGTGCTTTTCAATTGCACAAACCCATTAAGATTGTCTCAGTAAAGTTGTGTTTGGATTAGCTAATTACATTAGCCTAGGTTCAATAGGTTCTGTGCCTCATTAGTTGTATCCTAATTGCTTAAATGAATTTGCCCTCCTGTCATTTGTTCTTAGGCAAGTCAACTCAAGAATCACATACAGGGAGAATTTCAACTTTTCTTTAGTGTTATTTCCCTTTTTCTAGTTAATGTGTGTAAGACACTCTCGTCAGTTGACTTAGGGTTATTCTTAGAAGTGACTGGCTCATGTTATCTGGAAAGCCTGATTTGGACATATTTAGTCACAAAGTTACTCCCAGTCAAACTGTCAGTGAGCTGGTGTGTTTGCCAGGACAATGCTAGAATGGTGTGAGCGACTGCATCGACACTGGCTCCCCAGAGGTAGAAATCTGGACAACCCCATTTTGTACTATTTTTAGATGTTCCCAGCTCCAATAAAATGGACTGTGCAATAGAAAGAGCTACTTCGTTTTATTCCTGACATCAGTAGCGTAGGTAAGTGCATTTGAGATGTAAATGCATTTACACACGTGGTAATCTCGGAACTACATGTCCCCTTATCGAACGGCAGTTGTTCATGGCAGCGATGTATAAGCCATGCCTTATCTCTCAACCAACCGCTGGACAATTACTCTTGTATTCTGGACACGCCATCTGGCAAAAGAACATCTTCATTTGTTTTCCAGGTGGGTTCCACAATGGACTTTACTTATTTAACAAGGTCAATCCATACGAGCCTCAAAGGCTCCGATGGGGTGGCGGGGGGGAGCTGAGCTGCCACTGATTTTCCGTGGCAAGGCTCAGTGATTTAGAGTAGTGAATGAGAGGGTTGCAAGCATTATTTTTAGCTGCATGTATTCTTTGAACACAGAGGCCACTTAGGGCACTGATCCTCCCCCCATTATAACACAGCATATCTTAAAGCTTGGCATACTGACATACTCTATATATGACAATATGACAACATTGGTTTGTTTCCTGTTTCACTCCCTATTGTCACCCTGACAACATGTCATCCCAAAATATATTATATGTCCCCTAAGACTGCCAAAGGGAGGGCCATGGAATGCAGTTTGCCTAACTTAAAACTACGGCCTTATCACTAATTGCCTATTTCTTAGAATAATACCAAATGGACGTGCGGCAAAGCCCCTTTCCACTTTGAGTCGGGATTACAGCAGTTTGAAGCCTGCAGTCCTCATGTATGTGTCCCCAGCAACTGGTGCAATTTTGATTTGGGGAAGGAGATTGAAGGATTTATCAGAACATGCATAATGACACAAAGATACGACAGTGCACTTTTTCCTCTCTGGCGAGGCAGTTTGCTGTCCAATCGCCAGTCTACGCAAGTGTGCCAGTGCCTCTTGTAATCCCATGTATTTACACCCACTGGAACTGTACGATGCCCAGGAGAACAAGAACCTGAAGAGAGATTAGTGCAGGTTCAACAACACACTGATGGGTAAAGAGAGATCCATCACTGTGCAAGAGATGTCCTACATAGCTGAAAAATCTTACCCTGCTTCTTCATTTCAGTCTTTTTCTAAATATCTAATATCAATATATAATTATTGGCTTAAGTCTTTTCATTAGCCTGCTCCTGTGTAGGAGCAAAGCAACACAAAGAGATACAAAACTAAACTGTTGTCATTACGTTTTCTTTGTGTTCGGAGTCAATTTGCATCTCTGTGTTGTCATTTTGTGTTTCTTTTTGGTCGTTTTGCAACACTTTGTAGTCGTTTTGCATTTGTTGGTACTCATTTTATGTCTCTGTGTCGTTTTGCCTCTTTTTGTAGTCAAATTTGTGGTCATTTTGTGTCTCTTTGTGGTCATTTGGTTGCATTTCCAACAAGAAAATGTTAACAGTCACTTCAAACTTCAATCTTAGTTTGATTCTAAAAATACTGCAATTAAGCCTGGGGTCATGTAAACACCTTCATCTAATTATATTACCTTAATTAAAGTCACATTCACAGGATTAATGCAGTGATTAAAGAATGTGGAGCGAGGCAGTATTAGCTGCATATTTTAAAGGCTGCTTTGACCTCTAAAGACCATGTTCAGGCTAACCATCAGAGGTTTGACAAGTTGCAACTCCTGCCCCACATTCACTGAGTTACTACTATTTTTAAATATACACAAACATTCATATTTTTAGTGTCAATATGAGAAAAACTGTGGGAAAGTGGCATAGGAGTAACGTAGCCAGTAGCTTGCTGCATGGAGACATGTGGATACGTTGCTGTCACTTGTAAATGTTTGAAAATGGGAATTTGTGAATTATTCTTACAGTCAGAGTGCGGGCGGCAGTTAGAAGATTGTGCGCAGGCTATTGTAGACAGTGAGCAATGGAGACTCAGCGCCAGCCGTCACATGCATAGAGGATATGCAGATATGTTGGTTGTCCCTTTCCTGGGCTTTCTCTGATGTCCCATCTCCATCCATGGACCCAGAAGGAAAAAGACCTCCCCTCAGGGGTCATGAGAAAGGCACTGGGCGACTTTCCCAACATTCGGCCCTGGTCTGGGGACACTTAAAGGCACAGACGCACATACTTCCTTACTTCATCTTTCTCTTCCTCTTTCCTCCGTCTCTCTTTCTGTCCCTCCACATCTTCCTTTCTCCAACATCAGCCTACACACATGCCGAGTGGCTGTATATGGGTGCTTTTCCCCCCGAAGAGTTATTGATGCCTGGAAAGATGCCTGCCTAAGCTTTGATAGAAATCTCTAGTGGACAGTAAAACATGTTTTTGTGTATTGTTTTGCATACTGGGTACATAAACAAGAGTTATTCCCAGC